GCTTGCAGGGTGTTGTTTGAAATGTGTTGATATTTGTAATAATATGATACCTGAGTTCTGGTTCTGGTACTGAAACAATATGATTTTCTGTAATTTCCTTGAGGAAAAATAATTATGTAGTATGACTAATGTAGCATTTAAAGTGTTTTACGCAGTCCTGCAGCAGCTGCAGCAGAGTGACGCACCTTTAATAAAGAGCTCTGGATGTTCAGCTCAGACACTCACCTTCCCAGCGTTCAGCGTGGAGGAGGAGTTGGAGTTATTGGAGGAGGTGGTGGTGGTGGAGGAGGAGTTGCAGGAGGAGGAGGCGGTGGTGGTGCACGTAGAGGAGGTGCTGGAGGAGGTGGTGGAAGCCGGGACGAGCCCCTCCATGTCGGCTGCACTGTGGGAGTGTGACAGGCAGAGGGCGCTCATCGGCACTAAACCCTCCTGCAGGGAAACAAAGCTGAGATCAGAGGCGCTGTTTTCCTCACCTGCTCAGACGTTTGGTTGGTTTTGAAGGCGGTTGGACGCTGAAACCAAAGCAAGTGAAACAGTGAAGTAGAGCGGACACTAAAGGAGGGACATGTTTGTCTGTCACCTGTGGGGACGTCGCGTACGCCGCATTTCTTACCTGTTGGGATATTTGATCTGTCATCTGTGGGGGGGCGTTTGGTTCATTACATTTAGGGGCGTTTGATTTATCACCTGTTGGGGCGTTTGCTCCGTGGTTCGGGCCAGGCACCACCCGGGCCGTTCGGCCGAGCGCTCCACCAGCTCCACAGTCTGACCGCAGCGGACGCTGAGCTCCTGGTCCCCCGGAGGAGAAGTCCAGCAACACCACCACTAACTCACAGCCTCCTGACAGCTGCAGAGACACGCAGAGAGACAGGAAGTAAGACGGGTGTTACTCCTGACAGGCTGACCTTCGGAGTCTCCACGTTAGGAGCATCAGGAGCAGTCGGCACGAACACAGAGGAGCCTCAGCTGCAGCTGGCTGGACGCAACATCAAAACTTTAAGAGAGGAGAAGTCAACATTATATATATATTATGATAGTGAAGCGCTGTAGCGTTAGCAGGGGTGTGGAAAAGAATTGGTTCTTAGATGCATCTCGGTGCGGATTCTGAATCTGAATATCTAGAGGTTAATTTAAAACCAAATACTGACGGAACGAAAAAGGCTGAACTCAGAAATGTGTCTGCAAAGGGTGTTTTAACCCTAAAACACGAGTCCCTTTATTGTTTAACCGGGAGCTCATTCGGAGCCCTGTACACTGTAAAAACGCCAACTTAGATTTTTTGGTGTTAAAAGGGATTTTCAGTTTTGCAGACTTAAAATTCTAAATTATTAACATTTGACGCATTAACTAAGTCAGCCTAGCAATTTAAAAAAGTTTTTGTTCCAAAACCAATAAATGAGTTATTACAACTATTTATTTAAGTTGTGCTTCAGTTCTTGGGGCGAAAGTTTATTACAACTTGGAGTTGGGTTAAGAAAACTTAAAACTGAAAGTTGATCAAACTCTAAAGCAAAACTTAAAATGTTAAGTTTAATTTCCCAACTTAAAATTTTATTGAAATTTGTTGCCTTAAAATTTTCCCCAACTTTTTCTTTTTTACAGTGCACCTCAAAACATCAAGTTACACCAGAGCCAGAATGACTATTGAACTATTGATACTGATACATACACTTAATCAGGTAAATGAATCAAAATAGCTACTTCTGAATATGTTTTCATCACCAATCGATGATCATTAAACATCTAATAACTTAATGACGTGTTTGTGAAAAACACAGGACACCTCAAAGACAAACATGTTGTATGCAATTACTGCTAATTAAAACAAGTACAGTATCAGCAGCAGCAATGATTTAAGCATTGTTCCGCCCACCTGTAGTTCTAATATGAGTTACAGACAAGAAAAACATGTCAGGCTACAACACGGTACAAGAGAAAATAACCAGACTGAGGCTGCTTTCGCACCTGCCTCATTTAGTTTGAACCGCACTGGAGTTCGTTGTCCCCCTTGGTGCGGTTCGCTTGTGAAGTGAAAGCAAACAAGAATTATTTCCAAAGCTAAAACACTAATAAATCCCTCTGCTGACTCCGTGACATGTGTTCAGCGATCTTATAATTGATCTGTATGAGCCATTTGTAGGCTGTGTGAATGCAAATCATTTGGTAATCACGTATTTTCCCTGATTAATAGGTCAAAGGCTGTTTCAAAAGGGGCCAGTACTCTTGGTAGCCTACTAAGAATTAAAGTAAAAATCAAGTAAAATATATTTTTCAAAAAGAAAATTCAGTAAAATCTTTTTTTTGACTAAAATTAAGAAAAGTATTTTTTAAAGAAAAAATTACTGAAATCTTTTTTTCAACGAAAATTAAGTAAAATCTTTTTTTTCGACCCAAATTAAGTAAAATCTTTTTTTTCGACCCAAATTTAGTAAAATCTTTTTTTCGACAAAAATTAAGAAAAGTATTTTTTAAAGAAAAAATTACTGAAATCTTTTTTTCAACGAAAATTAAGTAAAATATTTTTCAAACAAAAACTTTAGTAAAATATTTTTTTCAACAAAATTAAGTAAAATATTTTTAAAGAAAAACTTTAGTAAAATCTTTTTTCCACACAAGTTAAGTAAAATATTTTTCAAACAAAGACCTAAGGTAAAATCTTTTTTTCAACAAAATTAAGTAAAATATTTTTTAAAGAAAACATTTTGTAAAATCTTTTTTCAGTCCCATTTTCACAACAAAATAAATATCTTAATAGAATAATTAAGTAATCTAATTTGTTTGTGATTCAAATTAATTAAATCAAGATTTATTAAACATTTATTGAACATTTGTTATATTGTTACTGCCCAGCCTGCCTAATTTAGCGTATTAGCATGCTAACATTTGCTAATCAGCACTAAACAGAAAGTACAGCTGAGGCTAATGTCATTATTGTTGCAGGTATTTTGACCGGATGACGGCGCTGCTCGCCTTCACACCGGTGGATGAGATATACCAGTCTTGACTTGAGTGGCAGACACACTGACCGACCAACAGAGTGCTGCTGCTATCTGCGCTACAAACATCTCTACATGATAAAGAATCTCAGCTGAAGTCAGCAATACAAACAGAAACAACCCAACGGCTCTGTAAAAGCTGTGCTTGATAAACGAGGCCATCGCGTCCGGGTTCTAATGAGACACCTGATTAATTTCCTGCACAAATTATTCATGTTCCCCCGGGAGAGAAGCTGTCAGGCAGACTTCAGGTGGCTCCGAACACAAAAGCTTTTTCCTTTCAGGAATTCAGCGGGGACAAATAAACATGACGTGACAAACGACACCAGCACACACCCTGAAACCTACATGCATCACCATAATAAGTGTTCTCCAGCCCGTCCAATCACAGCAGGGCGCGCTGAGCTCCTGATGGGCGCAAAGTATAAAAAACATCACGTGATCTCGGACAATGAGACGAGATCACCGTGGTTTCTAGTGACTCTGTGTGTTGACTGAAGTGAGCTGGAGCACATGGGCTGCAGCTGGTGGAGGAAACGTGGTGTCTGCAGGGAGCAGTGGGGTGTTCCCCCTGCTAATCCAACACAGATGTGATGTGTCTTGCAGCCCAGTTAGCATCACACGTTGCAAACGCATGTACTGTGGTGGAAAGTACCCTAGTGCATTTACTCAAGTACTGAGTATTTCCAATTTATGCCACTGTGTCATGGTAGTTTTACAGTTCAGCGTCGGAGTCCTTCGGCTGCGTCTCAGGCGTGTTCCTCACTGTTCATCGCCACAAGCTTTCTGTTGGTTTCATCTTCTGGGATCATTTAACTCTTCTCTGTACAGTTTTCTGTTCACGTGTCACTGATCGATCAGCTGATTTTACTGACGGAGCCTCCGGCTGCTTCAGGTGTAGTTGGTTTGATCGGCTGGACGTGCAGATTCTCTTTACTCTGTCTGTGAGGCGTTACTTTAGTGACTTGTTTAAACAGACTCTGACTCCCGTTTTCGGAGGTTTGCGGCTCACCAATAAAGGAAAAAGCACTCAGAGATCTTTCAACTCAGTTTACTGATCGAAAGTTAACAAAATAGTCTTCTGTTTTTTACTTTCAACACACGCATCAGAAAATACCTTTAATACATCATAATGATAATCTCTCAGGCCTTGACAACAGACACGTGGAACTAAATGTCACGCACGAGGGCTGCAGCTAATTTGAACGATCAGGTAATTAGACAATCATTTTGTTGATGAGCTAACGAAGCTGTTTGTCTATAAAATGTCAGAAAATAGTGAAACAGGTCCATAATACCTCCCCAGACTCTGATGTCTTTAAATGTCCAAAACCTAAAGATACTCAGTTTAAAATGATACTTGTACTTAACTTTTTACTTCTACTCCTCTATTTGTGTTTATTGTGATAATTATTTATCAAAACAAACAAATAAAAACATGATTGTAGTAACTTTAATTAGTTCGTTAACCTCGTTAATTGAGGTTTGGACACAGCAGGCGTTGTAAAGGCGCCACTTTGGGCTTCTGGGTAGCAGAATCTTTACAAACCAAAAAATCAATCGATCAACGGAGGAAATAATCAGCAGACTGACCCAGAAGGAAAAGAATCGTCAGCTGCACAGTTCAGAACAACTACAGCCGCAACATCCTGCGATATAAAAGTACAACACTTTACTGCTTTAATACTTTACGTACATTTTCCTGATTATACACAAGTTAAAGGATCTGGTGCTGCAGCACCAACAACAAGCTTCAGTTCCTACGCCGTTAAACTACCAACAGCCGGAGGGTCAAAGGTCAGAGGTCACAGCCTCTCACCCCGCCCTCAGCCACCAACAGCAGGTAAAAGAAATCAAACGTACCTCGTCAGGAGAGCAGCAAAGAAGTGAGAGTTTCTAGAAACAATCTGACCAGAGGAAACTCCCTCGTTCAGCACACACACCCAGCCAGCTGCAGCCAGCAGTGAGGTCATGAGGCTGTGGACACGCCCCTCTGGGAACACAGCGTGTGTGCGTGCGTGCGTGTGTGTGTGTGTGTGTGTTACCTTGTCGCTGTCGGCTGTGTTCTGAGATGTTCGGGAGGCGATGGAGACGGTGTCGGGCTGGCTGCTGGCGTCACCCAGGCTGTCTGCGTCCTCGCTGGTCTCCCTGAGAGAGACAGGATACAGATACAGGAGGTGGACAGAAGTATGTGGACACGTGCTTCAGTGTACTTCTGGTCTGAAACCCTTTCGAGCTGTGTTTGCATCGTAGCCAGAGATCCTTTAACTCGTCCGTTCATTTGAAAAACTAAGGGCCAGATTTGTGCAACATAGGACCTGTTGTTCATTTACTACTTTGGCCTTAATGAGTATGAATTTTATTGTGGAAAGTAGTGGGAGGGTAACATGCACATATGTTTATTTACTACACACAATGTGCTCTACCAAGCCTAAACACTATTTCATGTGAGTGCAGCAGCATCTGTATTTAATACGTTTGACAGGAAGGTGCAAACCGCCGAGTGCTGCAGAGATGCTGCTGTTGAGACACAGCCGTGATGAAAGAAGACGCAGAGAAATTAAACAATATTAGATAATATTATTCTATATCCAATATATAGAAATACAATTATTTAGTTTTTTATTCGATGAACTATATGAATTGAATAGTTTTTTTGTATTTTCCTTTAGATTTGGCGATAGTGTTGCATTAACATTCATGCCAATAAAGCAAAGTTAATTTTGACCTGACTTCTTTTCTCAGTGAGATTGAAGACTTTAGAAAGTTGCGTGGCGCTGCGGAGAGCCTCCAGCTGCACGGATCACGTGTAAAATTCATCCAGCCAGAGGGACGATCACCAGCTGTTCACAGCGCGCCGGTCGTAATAGCGACATAACCCATTGTAGGTATCGGAGAGGGGTTGTGGCGTACAGGTTCAGGAGATCATGGAGCGACCGGGCACGCTGCGGACTGTCGGTGATCGTTCCCTCTGGCTGGATGAAGCACGATCTGCTGGCATTTCCTGGCGTCTGGGTCATTCCAGCACACTGTATCTGTTTCTGCTGGGGTTTCCCAAAGCATGGGGTTTTCCAGCTGTGCTGTCCCAAGTACTCAGTGGGCCGGTACAGACGATTTCCACATACTGAGTGAAACGAGCCAAGGTTTTTACGCTGGGGCTGCTTTCCCTCCCGAGTCTCCACGGTGGAAACCCTCATTTAAATACTCCCACCTCCATTGTGTTTAATTCTTGCCCCTTAAAAACCTTGTAATTTCAATTCAGGATACTTGACAAATCCCTTACTGATCAGTTTAATTAAAGGTTAAAATATTTCCAGCTGTATGCTAATGACATTTTAAGAGATTCTTTGTCAGTATTTATGTGATTGGGCTCAATCAGGATTCTAACATGTCGATTTAATCAGTTTTCTCCATGAATTTTAGCTTTTTAAGGGGAAACGATATCAAAGAACTTCCTTCATCCTTCAACTTAATGAAAACAAAACTGAGGTCACTCTGTTTGGCCCTCCGAGCTTAAGCAATTCGCTTGGTCCCCTGACTACAAACTGGAGCAGTGTAGTTAAGAATTTAGGTGTTTTCATGGAGACTTGTTTGAATTTTAACAAATAAATCAGTATTGTCGTGAAGAGCACTTTTTATCAGGCAGTTAAATCTGACGTTGTTGTTTATTTCCTTTTAGCTTCATTTAATTTCACTTTTAGCGAGTCCTCCATATGCCTTTTATTGACGTGTACTGGTGTTTTATTGTGTATTTGGATACACAGTGGTGTACACGCTCTTTGTTCTTTTGTGCATTTATACTTGTATTTGTGTGTATTGTGTTCTTGGAGAGCACTTTGGGTCAGATCCTGTTGTTTTTATATGTGCTATATAAATAAAGCTGACTTGACCACAAAACTTAATAAATAATATTACAGTTATTCCTTATTTTGTTCCTCATAAGAAACTTTCTCATTTAAAGGATTCAAGTCAGGGTCTCAGAGCTGCATCGGTTAGTTGATCAATCGATTATGTGAACCAAAAAAGTGAAACATTTGCTGGTTTCATCTTCGTAAATATGAGGAACTGCTGCTTCCTTGTCATTTATGACAGTTTTGGCCTGTTGGTTGGACCAAAGAAGCGATTTGAAGACGTCACTTTGAGCTCTGGAAAACTGTGACGAGCATTTTTCGCAGTTTCTTGACATTTTAGAGACTAAACGGCAGATTTGACACAGTTTGAAGGGTTCTTAAGGCACAAATAAAAACTTTAATTTCAGCACACAGCATGTGAGCTCTGCACATGCTGAGCGGCTGTAATTTTCTCCACTCTGGCCAACAGGTCGGAGGGCAGCTTTATTTAGGAGCCCTGACGGATCACGTGGCGGGAGGCATCTAACGTGGACGTGTTAACCGAGTCTCTGGTGGCGAGCGCTGACCTGCGGCTGATGCTGCGCTGTCGGCCCAGGGTGGGGTTTGGTGTCTTTGGGAGGGGGATGGGCTCCCTCAGCGCCCCCCGCAGGTGGCCCCGCCTCTCCTGGATCACCTGGCGAATGCTGCGGACCCACTCCTGCTTCAGCTCCAAGGATGACGCCTGAGGAGTGAGGTAGACACAAACATTAAGCAACTGCCACACATGAGCATTACAGTGTCATCAGATGTGACCGGGACTTACTCTTACCTTCAGGACCGTCTTGTTGTCGGATGTCGGCGTTCGTCCGACCCACAGAGCAAACTTACAGGGATCCCCCTCTATGTGCTCCGTCACACCGAGCTCTGAGGTCTGAGAGGGCGACACGTAGTCAGACCCAGATTATAACTTCAAAGTGAAACTTCACTCTAAATGTGTAGAAATGTGTGTTACCCTCAGTCTGCTCTTGTAGAGGTATTTGGTTCGTCCGGACGAGTCTTTGATTTCTTTACTGAAGATGAGTGACAGCTCGAACAGGAAGAGGTGTCGGTCCCGCCCCTTCCTGATCAGAGACTTTGGCTCCCAAACCAGAAAGGAGTCCTGCAGGAGGAGCTCGCCCTGCACCTCCAGACCCTCCTCCAGACCTGACAAGGACGTCACAGCCGAGACAGCCTTAATGTTACCTCTTATCATCGGTAAGTGTAACTGAAGTCCTCAGGAAATCTCCTTCAATATGTCACGTTTTATCAGTGCATTTAAAATAAGCTTTACAAAAATAACAAAAGCTTCAACCTCTGACTTTATCAAAATAAAAGACCTGTAGCTATTTCAAAGTAAAAGCTCTATAGCTTCCCCACAATGAAAAACTTGTAAAAAACCTGTAGACATTTCAAAGTAAAAGCTCTATAGCTTCCCCACAATGAAAAACTTGTAAAAAACCTGTAGACATTTCAAAGTAAAAGCTCTATAGCTTCCTTACAATGAAAAACGTAAAAAACCTGTAGATATTTCAAAGTAAAAGCCTTATAGCTTCCTTACAATGAAAAACGTAAAAAACCTGTAGATATTTCAAAGTAAAAGCCTTATAGCTTCCTTACAATGAAAAACTTGTAAAAAACCTGTAGATATTTCAAAGTAAAAGCCCTATAGCTTCCTTACAATGACAAACTTGTAAAAAACCTGTAGATATTTCAAAGTAAAAGCCCTATAGCTTCCTTACAATGAAAAACGTAAAAAACCTGTAGATATTTCAAAGTAAAAGCCCTATAGCTTCCTTACAATGACAAACTTGTAAAAAACCTGTAGATATTTCAAAGTAAAAGCCCTATAGCTTCCTTACAATGAAAAACTTGTAAAAAACCTGTAGATATTTCAAAGTAAAAGCCCTATAGCTTCCTTACAATGAAAAACTTGTAAAAAACCTGTAGATATTTCAAAGTAAAAGCCCTATAGCTTCCTTACAATGAAAAACTTGTGAAAGACCTGTAGTTATTTCAAAGTAAAAGCCCTATAGCTTCCTTACAATGACAAACTTGTAAAAAACCTGTAGATATTTCAAAGTAAAAGCTCTATAGCTTCCCCACAATGAAAAACTTGTAAAAAACCTGTAGACATTTCAAAGTAAAAGCTCTATTGCTTCCTTACAATGAAAAACGTAAAAAACCTGTAGATATTTCAAAGTAAAAGCCTTATAGCTTCCTTACAATGAAAAACTTGTAAAAAACCTGTAGATATTTCAAAGTAAAAGCCCTATAGCTTCCTTACAATGACAAACTTGTAAAAAACCTGTAGATATTTCAAAGTAAAAGCCCTATAGCTTCCTTACAATGAAAAACGTAAAAAAACCTGTAGATATTTCAAAGTAAAAGCCCTATAGCTTCCTTACAATGACAAACTTGTAAAAAACCTGTAGATATTTCAAAGTAAAAGCCCTATAGCTTCCTTACAATGAAAAACTTGTAAAAAACCTGTAGATATTTCAAAGTAAAAGCCCTATAGCTTCCTTACAATGAAAAACTTGTGAAAGACCTGTAGTTATTTCAAAGTAAAAGCCCTATAGCTTCCTTACAATGAAAAACTTGTAAAAAACCTGTAGTTATTTCAAAGTAAAAGCCCTATAGCTTCCCCACAATGAAAAACTTGTGAAAGACCTGTAGTTATTTCAAAGTAAAAGCCCTATAGCTTCCTTACAATGAAAAACCTGTGAAAGACCTGTAGATATTTCAAAGTAAAAGCCCTGGACAGTAGAAGTCCTCCCTATCCTTAACAGGAAAAGACAGTTCCTTCACAATAAAAGCCCTGCAGCTGCTTCACAATAAAAGCCCATTAACTGCACCAGAGTTGAAACCCTTAAACATCTCTTCAGGAGGAGCCCTGTCCTGACTGCATGTTAGGAAACATAATCTGGGTGTTTTACCTTCCAGCATGCTAACGTGCATAGCATCGTTCGCTCTCTTCGGTACGCTCAGCATCACGTCCAAGCCTTCCTTTATTTCCCCTTTCCCCTCCTCGCAGCACGCTAGCAACTCCTACAAACACAAACACAAAACCTTACTGAGAGAAAACACAGATAAATTCAGAATATTTTACACATTGTTTTAACAAATTAGCACTAATAGTATGGTGATAATTTAATATTGACTAAGACATTATATTAGATAATTTAACATTAAAAATAAAAAAGCCCAGAGGAAAGTTCCTTATAAAAACACTATGTTATGTGCTATATAATTTATACTAGTTTTTTATGCTTTTTATTAGTATTATCCAAATCATAAAGCCAAAGGCAACTGCATGATTACAAAATATTTTAGGTTCATCAGGTGAAAAGAAAATTGTGAAAATGTAATGATTAAAGACCGATAATTATAATAAATACATGGACACATATCTCTTTTTCAAACAAACGTTACTCTCTTAGTTTTATTATTAGTTATTTTCTACTCTATACTGAATTTGCCGCCGCATGTCATTTTGTTACTTCTTAGTAATTAATTACAAACTCTTAATATCTTGGCACACAATAATGGTCATGGTGGTTATAATGTACAAGTATTAAGTAGTATTTATCTGTAAAAACTAATATTACACATGAAACAGTAAACTTTTAAAGTAGAAAAACATCTAAAAACGTTAGATAAAAAAGAAGACGTCACGCTGCTGCTGAGCTCAAGTTACACCAAAGTTTTCAAACTAACATAAAATGTGTTTCATTTATTATTCTGTGCACACAGACTGGATCCTCGGGGCTCCATATAAACTGTTTCAGGCTGAACTACAGGTGTTTCCAAACAGCCAGAAGGAACAAACCTTCAGTTTTCTGACACGCGACGGTTTAACGTTCCTCTGAATTTAACAGCCATTTATAGAAAAGCTCCTTCTGAGCTGCTGTGCTGTGGGAGAATCCCTGCATTGAAGCGTTACCTTGAGCAGCAGCTGGTACTTGGTGATCCTCTGAACGGGTTTGATCAGAGCGGAGGAGATGGAGTTGGTTAGACCATGTCTCCTCTGGACCTCCTGAGAATAAACACACACACAAAACCTGTTAAAGGGGAAACTGATAAAGCAAGCTGAAGCTCCTCCGCCCGCTAACCACAAATCAAACCCTTACAATTCAGCAGGACTGATTAATGTCTTATTTCTCACAGCCTCCTGGACACATGTCACGACCTCAGAGGGAGTCCAGCTCCTCATGTTGGCAACCGACTAAAGGTAATACTTTATTTTCCAGGTCCTGTACTTCCTGAATTATTTCTCGGGACATTTTCTAAAAGGAGATTTGCCATTTTGTAGTAATTATAAAGAAAACGACTGAGGCTGTACACACTGCAAGTACACTTTTATTTACAGAGCTCCAGATAAACTCTAAGATGCACCCACTAAGAGGAATCTGGCTTTTTTTGCGTGTTCAGCTGACTAAATAACTTTTCAGGTCAGTGCTTCTTTGCCAGTCCAGCCTCAGGCTCTGAATTTTCCTTTCAAGTCTCTGTCCACTCACAGAACAACGTAACCTTCAGCGAGCTGAGGCTTTGTCCTCACCGTTCAGGCCGACTCCGACTTTTAGAACTTGCTTTGACAGTTTGCTGAAAATAATAAAGTCATTTTCAAGACAGGTCAGTACTTTACTGTGTACAACGCAGTTTAGTTTCTTTTTTAGAGTTCAGTTTAAGTTAAACCAGGTTTAATAGAGTTGTGTTGTGGAGTAAGCTTCCTGTCTGGAGGGACCACTACGCTCAACGGGAGGTCATGTGACCAACACAGCCAACACTGATGACAATGGTGTCCTGAACCTTTCATACTGTAGTACCTGTATCGCTGTATATTCTTCAGTACCTGTTGTAGAACTCATAGTTTGTGTACTCATGCAGTATATCTTGCAGTACCTGTTGTGGAACTTTTAGATGTCCTGTTTGTGTACTCATGCAGTATATCCTGCAGTACCTGTTGTGCAACACGTAGATGTCCTGAACCTTTCCTGCTGTAGTTCCTGTATTGCTGTATATCTTGCAGTACCTGTTGTGCAACACGTAGATGTCCTGAATGTTTCCTGCTGTAGTACCTCTATTGCAGTATTGTAGTAAATTTTTCAGTCCCTGTTGTGGAACTTGTAGATGTCCTGTTTGTGTACTCATGCAATATATCTTGCAGTACCTGTTGTGGAACTTTTAGATGTCCTGTTTGTGTACTCATGCAGTATATCCTGCAGTACCTGTTGTGTAACAGGTATATGTCCTGAACCTTTCCTGCTGTAGTTCCTGTATTGCTGTATATCTTGCAGTACCTGTTGTGCAACACGTAGATGTCCTGAATGTTTCCTGCTGTAGTACCTCTATTGCAGTATTGTAGTAAATTTTTCAGTCCCTGTTGTGGAACTTGTAGATGTCCTGTTTGTGTACTCATGCAGTATATCTTGCAGTACCTGTTGTGTAACAGGTAGATGTTCTGAACCTTTCCTACTGTAGTACCTGTATTGCAGTATATTTTCACTACCTCTTGTACCATGTCTTTAACTCTTTTTAAGGATTTTTTTAAGGACTAAAAACTACAGGACAGAGTTTCTTAACTAAATTAGCAGAAATCGTTAAGAAAGATAACGAAGTAGCAGTAGTTAATGAAGCTGAGTGGTTCTGACCTCGAAGAACCCGGCGCCGTGCTGCTGGATCAGTAAGCTGGAGTCGGGTTTGTTCCTGCAGTACGTCACGTACATGTGGAACTTGTCCGCCTGAGCCAGAGACAGGAAGTATTATTCAGAGTACTTTCACCTGTAATTTACATTTTTTATTCATATGACTTAAACCAAGCTGGTTACCCAGGTAACGAAGCAGTGCCCCACGTCCTCAGGAAGCTGTTCGTAGTTTTCCAGCTCCTTCAGGAAAATACTGCAAAACACAAGAGTACTGCATTTATACACACAGAATACTGTACAGTGTTAGAGAGGAAATAAATACACTGTATGTACTGTACCCCTGGAGTACTACAGTACATTTTGCAACATATAGGTGTGCTGTTTGCTTATGTAGTACTGTAGAACGTATCTGTACTACAGTACATGTTGTATTTACATAGTACATATTGCAATGATATAGTAAATATCCCAAAGATGTCCTAGATGTGTACTATTGTAGTACATATTTTGTATATTTTGCCGTACCTGTACCCTCGCAGATGTACTACATGTGTGTTACTGTAGTACATGTATTGTAGTATCGCAGTATATTTTGCAGTACCTGTTGTGGAACTCGTAGATGTACTACATATGTGTAACTGTAGTACATGTATTGTAGTATCGCAGTATATTTTGCAGTACCTGTTGTGGAACTCGTAGATGTCCTGGATGTTTCCGAACACGATGTCGTCCTTGTTGGTGAGACCAGGTGGGACGTCCTCCGAGCCACTCGTCATCTCCCACAGGTACGTCTGTGCCAGGTAAAAGTACTACTCTTAGGAAATACTATCCACTATGATGTAGTACTATATGGTATCGTGTATTGCTTTAATGTTTTGCATAGAAGTCTTTTGTCCTCGAGTGTCAGCAGAGGGCGCTGCTGGTGTCAGTAAACAAACAGCTTCAGACTGACACAGTACAATATCACATAAAACTATGTTGAAACACAAAGTACGTGTAGTATGTGGTATTTCAGAATCTAAACGGACTGCCCAGTATTCTGTGGTACTGTGTGGTACTACAGGACTATGGTGTTGCTAAGAAAGTACCTCTATACACTCCTGCAGGTCTCTGACGTAGACTCTCTCTGTTTGAAGGAGCTCAGCCATGATGTACCTGAGAGTACACACACACGTTACCAAAGCATGTACACCGTGATACTTTCAGTACTGTTGGTACTAACGCTACTCACTCTTTCTTTCGGGCGGAGCGCCTCTTCTCGTCGCTGACCTGATGGCTGGGGTCAGACAGGTTGACCTCGGGGTCGGAGTCAGACAGACTGTTGGGGATCAGCTCCAGCTCCAGGTCCTTATTGTCCTGTCAGGGACACCGTACATGAGTGAAAGGTGAGTCTACCTGCAGATGGTTTCCGTATCCAAACACATTCTTTACTGTTCTTACCTGTGAGCAGCCTCCCAGCGCCGTCTCCAGCAGGTGGCGGTACTGTCCCACCCTGACAGTGAAGTCGCGGTATCGTTTATCCACCGTGGCAACACAGCGACGAAGCTCAGTGCGGTGGGCGTGGCCTTTAGCCAGCATGCTCTCAGCCAGCTGGATCAGCAGGTGAACCTTCTCCTGGGTGTGCTGAGAGGCCGTCAGACAGGTGAGTGATGGCGGTGGTGAAAACGTGTGTGTGTTTGTGTGTCTGTGTGTGTGTTCTCACCTTGGCCGACACACAAAACTCTCTGTGTTGGTTCAGCAGTTCTTGTGTTTCAGACGCCGATGCGCCCGGCGATGTGTGCGTGGCCAGGTAGTGGTCACCTGACTGCTGCAGCCAATCCAGAGCCTGAAACCAACAGTTTCATTACTCTTCCATTTAATGAAAATAGCCTAAACGTGAGGTCACGGTTCTTCTGCGGTTCATCAATAAATACTTTTCACAAACTATAAGCAGTGTATGAGCGTGACGCTAAAGTGTGATAGCGTGAAAATGCTAGAACAATAATAAATAACGACCATTTCCAGACATACTAAATCAGGGTTTCCATTGGCCGAAGCGAAACAGGAAATGACCATTGCCTGTGCTTCAATATACAAGTTATACTGCAGATTATAATTTTAAACACAATACACATGATCAATTTATAGTGTGATACACATTGTAGACAAAACTACCCAACAGTAGGGCTGAAATTAACGAGTATTTTAATTATAGATTAGTCTGCCGATTTTTTTCTCAATTAATCAATTAGTTGTTCGGTCCAGAAAAGTTTTTAAAACGTTGATCAGTGTTTCCCAAAGCCCGAGGAGACGTCCTAAAATGGTCCTCAAAGCAAATATATTCAGTTTACTGTCACCGAGGAGCAAAGAAACCAGAAAATATTCACATTTTAGAAGCTGAAATACCAAAATTTGTTTATTTTTTCTTTAAAAAAGGACTCAAAGTGATTAATCAATTATTAAAATAGTTGGCGGTTAATTTAATGACAACTAATCGATTCATCAATTAATCGTTGCAACTCAACCAAACAGTGTATAATGTGGTAAAAATATGCCCAATCCCGGCTTGCTGTGATCATTGCATGTCAAACTAATCAATGCTAAGGCATCCTTAATAATGTTCCAATTATGTGATATATTTAACAATATCGCACTCTCAAAGGGGCCCAAAGAGCACCTTTACTTTGATACTTACAGTACATTTTGCTGATAGTTCTTATACTTAAGTAAAATTTTGAATGCAAGACTTTTACTAGTTATTTTTAAATACAGCCTCTTTTACTTAAGTTAAAGATATGAGTACTTCTACCACTGACAAGGATGCAAGGTCTGTTCTGTTGACTGTGTGATTGATAAGCCACCAGTAGGAATTCATTAATAATCCTCTAATATTCCAAAATGCATTTCCTGTCACCGTAATGACATTGCAGATTTTGTGTACCTGCTGGGTGTGGCTCTGGAACATCAGGTACTGCTGGCACTGATCCAGTCTACGTTTCTTCAAAGTCCAGAAATGAAGAACTCTGTTTTCCCTCTGGAGCAACTCACTGAGGATACCTGCACACACACACCGGATCATTAAAATGAACACTGGTGTACACATATACTCAAACCAATCATGCGTGGAGTTCCTCAGGGCTCTATACTGGTTCCACTGTACGTCTCTATAACACTCAACATTACTTGTGTATTTCTGTGTGGGCGTCTGTTCATTTACCTTTGACTTGTTGCTCTGGTACCCTGGAGTGCCCCGTGACCTCGGTCATCCCCGTTACCCCGGAGACGGTGACGCTGTGGCCTGAGATGTTCGCCATCGTGACGCTGTTGCGGTGGATGTACTTGAGGAAAACTTCAGCATTTCGTCTGGCCAGAGTGCAGGCCTGTCGCCACAGAAACAAGACTGTTAGAGGACGTATCATCGTACATGGTGACTTTTATGAAACGCACATGAGGTTGTTCTATGTACAATTCAGGACTGTTCAAGACCATCAAAGAATATTTGGGATTACGCAAGACGTTCTCAGACTAGCGTAAACTTTTCAAAGCTACTAAATACAATTAAACAAAATGAATTTTCCTATTAGGCAAGATCATTTTAACACATCTTTAACAACATTACTACTACTCAAAAATACTCAAGAATATTCAGATATCACAAAATACCATTATATATTTATATATATATTATATTTAGACAACATTCAAAACAATTAAAGACTATGTAAGACAGTTTCCTAAGTTGATAACAAAGGCCGACGTTTTAAACAGTGGGTCCTTAAATCCAGACAGAAGTAAACAAACTTCTCATTTTTAGTCCGCGACTCAATGAAAACTTTTTTTAGCTCCAGATTGCTAGCATTAGCTATTTAACATTAGCCGTTAACTCCTTCAGTTGAGGAAACGCTTCTTAAATATGCACCTTATATCTTGCCAACAGACTGAGGCTAAAACTAAGTCATCATACCAGCTGATGAGCCATGCAGACAAAAATATATAGATAAAAAAGAACCAGCATTGTTGCTAGTTATCTCTAGCGTGTGAAAGGTTAGACTGTTATTTCATTCTATCATAACCCTGTTTGGATGTTAACTATAGAGAGATATACTTGGGCAAGATGTTAGATTTATGCTTTATGTTTTCATTTGAGAGATTACAAGAGAAAAGTATCTGATAATCAGGACGAGTATTGTCCAGAGTACATGGTCCAATAAAGAGCAGGACAGAGCTGCTAGCATTAGCCTAAACTTTGATATGGTAGGACCGGCTCCTACACAGTGGGTCCTAAACATGTTTATTTTCTGACTTCACTTGAAATCCTACAAACTTAGTTAAGTTAGCTAATAATTGGAAAACTAGCCTTGGGAGTAACCCTGGGTTGCTATTGTAGCTTTTAAGCTAGTTAGCCAGGCATGCTAATGTTTTACCTTACATTAGCACAGACAAACGTTAGTTTTTGTATTATACAGGTTATAAAGACATCATTCATGCTCCATGTAAACCACTTCACTAAAAGACAGCTGCCGTGCCCAGTTATGGTTGCTTATTTCTGATTGGATGGTTCAGGGAGGGGGTTTAAGGCTTTTCTTTTCGAGCTCTCCTCACCTTCAGGAACGCCTCCTTCTGCTCCATGTGTTTGTTGATGAGTGGCATGAGCTGCTCCGGTTGTCTCTCTCCACCTCCACACCAGTCCTCCTCCCGGCGGTACTCCTGCTCCAGACTCTCCAGTACCCCACACACCTGGAGAAAGACAGCAGACAGGTGGGTGGAGAGGCGTACAGACAGGTAGTAAGGTAGGACAGACAGACAGCTGTACCTGCTGGGATGTCCTGTAGAAGGCTGCGGAGGCGTTCACCAGTTTGAGTCTGTCTTCAATCCTCAGCATTAGAGTCTGCCAGTGCAGCGCCACCGTCTGGGCACAAGACCTCACTCCATCTGGATCATAGTGACCTGACCTGAAGGGGGGAGACTCAGAGGTCAGAGGTCACATGATTGGGACGACTTCTTAATACAGGACCTCTGGATGATGATTAACATGTTGGTTTTAATCACAACTCCAGAGGAAACTTGTATTTTTACCTGATGATCAGCCATTAACTGAAAGTGCTGAATATTGGATATTAGTCTCATGTCTGTGTGTTATGTACGGAGTTGGAGTCGGGATGTAGTTAGCCTAGCTTAGCATAAAGACTACATACATAAAGTAACCAAGTAACGTGACTTAACTTATGTAAGTTAAGTTACTTAAGTAATGTTGTAAGACAAACCATGATCTATTCCTAAACCTAACAAGGTTTGGTGCCTAAATCTAACCAAATTCTGACGTTTCACAATGACGTTTAGAAGAGAGACCTTCATCTCCTTATCTGCTTTTAGGAAATCTCTTGAAGACATTTTTACAGAGGTCTGCAGTTCTTTTTAAAACCTTTTTCATTTTAAAAAATGTGTCATCGACACTGCTGTCACCACGGCCCTTTCTGTTCATATGCTGCCCTGCTGCCCATTGTGAAATGTGGTCTTGTTCATGTTTTGCAATGTTTCCTGTATGTTATGTCTCTTTAGTCTGTATATTTTTTTCCTTACTCTTTATTCCCTTGTCCCGTCAAGAGGATGTCCTGACATTTTTTTTGTCCTTAACTAACTTGTCTGGTTAAATTAAAAAAAATAGTGCAGTGCAGACATCAACTAACCTGACCAGCAGCTCTGCTCTCTGCTGCAGAGCCAGAGCCACCTGATGAGTCCTCTGCAGGGAGTCGGCGTGGAGCAGAGCCTGGAACGAAGGAAGGTGTGTGGACTTAATTTCCATCGAAATTACATGTTGCCATGGTAACCTTTACATCTGTCTGCTGTGATGGACAGCAGACAGATTATCTTCCCTCTCTGCATGAGGGCAGGGTCACTGATTCATCGTCTTCATCCTCCCATTTGTTAACAAGCTCTCAGCTGAATATCCCAAAATGCACTTTATGTAATGTATTGTCTTTTTGTGTTAGTGTATGTTTTAGTGTGTGTATGTGCAGTTACCTCTATGGCTTGCTGGAGGCGCTCATGCTCCCTCTGCAGCTGCTCGGCTTCAGACAGACAGCTGGAGTTCAACATGCAGGACGACAGCATGACCTCCCCCTCTGAGATCCATCCCAGCACCTGAGACACAGACAGACAGGTGTAGATACAAATGCAGCTGTGCGTGGTGTGTTACCTGTTTGACCTGGCTCTGCAGGTGAGTGTGTGTTACCTGTTTGACCTGGCTCTGCAGGTGAGTGTGTGTTACCTGTTTGACCTGGCTCTGCAGGTGAGTGTGTGTTACCTGTTTGACCTGGCTCTGCAGGTGAGTGTGTGTTACCTGTTTGACCTGGCTCTGCAGGTGAGTGTGTGTTACCTGTTTGACCTGGCTCTGCAGGTGTGTGTGTGTTACCTGTTTGACCTGGCTCTGCAGGTGTGTGTGTGTTACCTGTTTGACCTGGCTCTGCAGGTGTGTGTGTGTTACCTGTTTGACCTGGCTCTGCAGGTGTGTGTGTGTTACCTGTTTGACCTGGCTCTGCAGGTGTCTCAGCTGCAGGTTCTGCTCCAGGTGTGTGTGTGTGTGATCTGCAATCTGCTGCATCTCCTTCTGTTTGTCCTGCAGGAGGTGCTGCAGCTCCTCCACCTGAGAGGAGAGACCCCCCTCTGCCTCCGATAGCTCGATACCTGACACACACACACACACACACACTGTTAGACCTTCAGAGTGAAGACATTTCAGCTGTTACGGTACTCGCAAATATAGTAACACAACTGTATTTATGTGTGTTTTAATCCACATTCGTTTGTCTGTGTGTGTGTGTGTGTGTGTGTGTCTCCATGACAAATTCAATACCCTGGTTTCCATGGGGACCAGCTGTGTGCTTCAGAGAGCAGTTTCCATGGCAACCCCATCCCCCTTTCCCCCTCCCTCCATTATCCTCTCTGCCCCCCCACCCCCTTTCCCCTCTAATATCATGTGTGTGTTACTGAACTGGTCCGACGGATGCTGCACTGTAGCATTAAAATCTGCTGACTGACTTCTGGTCTGTTCTATTTTTTCACAGCAGAGGACGAAAAATTATCAATATGAAAACCTGTTCTGAACTGTCAACTGTTCTGCTTTCTGCCCGTTCGGCCTTTTGCCAGTTTATGGTTGTTTGATACATAAAATCCCATTGGAACATCCCCCCTCCCCCAAAGCACGAAAATGAAATCCAAAAACTGTGAACACTTCAAGGACCACAAGAACCCTTTCATCAATCTCTACCTCCTCATCTCTGTAAACTCAGTCAGTATATTAGACTTCAAGGACCACTGGAGCCTTAGGACTCTATGGAAACCCTTAAAAATATTTGGAACCCTAATTGAAAGCACTAGAAACAACCGGAGGACACAAAAAGTCAAGGAATTCCCTCAATGCTCTATTACCTTGTCATTGACTCCTTGAAACCACTTAGGGACCAGTGGAGAACTATTAACAATCTCTGAATACTCCTCAAGGACCAGTGGAACCCTAAGGGGAACTTTAGTCCCTCGGAACCACTGAATCCCATTATGGAGCACTAAAAATCACCCAAGGACCCCTGGAACCAACAAAAAGACTCATAAAATCCCCCAGACTCCCCTAAGAGACCCCTGTAACACACATAAAAGACTCCTGGAGCCTTCTCAAGGAACCTTAAAGATGGAAATCCCTAAGGGTTCTTTAGACCGAAGTGAGAATTTGAATGTCCAAATCTCAAAAATCTCATCAGAAACCTCTGAAAACCCTTGGCAATTTGTTGAACACAACCAAGGAACACACTGAAAGATACACTGAAGTCCCTGAAGGTCTCTAAAGTTACTTCTGGGATTCCTTAAGGGTCAGTGAAATCAAGATTCAAAGTGTTCATTGTCAGATGTTCAAGTTTCCCTGTACACTGAAATTCTGCTGTCCACATCAAATGCCTACAATAAAATAAAATAAATGTATCAATAAAAATACAATAACAAATACGATAAATAGTGATTAATGATACAATAAATCCTCTCAAGGATCCCTGGGACCCCTTAAAGAACTGTTGGAAGCTTGTAGGGACTTCTAGATCCCCCTCAAGGACCACTGCAGCACTACTCAATTACCTCTGGAACCCACTTCATAAGCACTACAAACCAACTATGAACTACTAACCAAAAGACTCCTGGAAGTATCTCAAGGTCACCAGAGCCCCGTCAGTGACTCCTGGGAATCTCTTAGGGACTACCAGAACCCATTCAATGAGCATTTAAACCCTTAGAAGCTCTTCATGGACCACATGAACCCTTTGCAGGATCTCTTCCTCCTCCATTACCTTTGCAGTCCCAAAAGTGGCTTCTGGAAACTGTCCAGAAAGCCTTTAAGTGGCCTCTAAAACCTGTTAGAGAACTTCCAGAGCTCCCTGAAGGACCAGCACAGCTCTATCAAACACCACTGGGACTCCCTAAAGCACAAGTCAAGAAACTCTGAAAGACAATAAAACACTGCTGGAAGCCCGTAAATGACTCGTGTTGTCTCTATTTCATTTCTTGTGGTGTACCCCACGGCTCATTCCTAGTTCCCTTTATTTTCAGTCTATATAAGCTGCCGTTAGGTTCTAACATTCAAAAAAATGGTGTAAATTCACGACGATACGCGGATGACACTCAGCTTAACGTTTCTGTTCATCCGATGACCTCAGCCCTGTTCACACCCTTGTTAATTGCATTTCAGATCAGCAAATGTAATCTGTGAAAGTAATCACATTACTAATCAGTAGCGGCACTAATCATACCGTAAGTAGAAGTAGTAGGAATGGTAGCATTAAATATAATATTACTAGAATTACAGTACAATTGTACGGAAGTGTGTGTCTTACCCGATGCCTGGACCTCAGTGACGTACTGCTGAAGGTCGTGACCTTGTTGGATGACCTCATAGATCATATTGTTCATAGCCAGCCTTCGCTCCATGTGCCTGCAGATCAATCAATCAGTCAAAGCCTGCAATGGCCTGTTTTCTATGAGCAATTTTTGTGTTGAGCCAGGATGACGTCATCACAATGGTCAGTTTACCTGTGGATGCGCTGCTGTGCTAGCGTTAGCACCTCAGGGCTGGCCTCCACTAGCCGTGACTGGCCCAATGCTAGCTTGTCCTGGGCTAGCTTGTCGTGGTTTGCATCGGCTAGCCGTGGCGATGCTAGCTTTTCTGCTGAGAAGTCCTGGGACTGTTTCTGGAGGTCCTGCTTCCAGGCATCTATTTCCCCGGTTACCTACGAAACACACATACATAATTAATCCAACCTTGACACAGCGGAAGGAGGTTAAAAAATGAAATGCATAAAGTATTAATTATTAGTAAATGAAAAACATAAACGTTGCACCTCCAGTGTGCACTGGTGCAGAATGCGGAGCTGCAGGTAAACATCCAATCGGATTTTCCTCTGGTGGAAAAGTTCCTCCAACTGAATGAACTCTTCCAGCTGCTGCAACACTGACTCCACATGGGCCACCGAGCTACCCTGGGGCCTGAAACAAACGCACCTAAAATGGTTAAACAAACCCAAGAACATGAACTTTACAAACTTAAAAACAAATGTGCCATTACAGGTCAAATAAAGTCGAAAACAAATGCACCCGCATAGATTATACAAAGTATAAAATAAACACACCCACACATGCTATAGAACCTGAAAACAAAAACACCCACAGTCTTTACATACACCAACTCCACACAGGACCATGAGCTGCCCAGAACAGTGAAACAAATGCACCCACACTGATTATACAAGCTAGAAAAAACCTGAAAACAAAAACGCTTCCACACAGGCTGCCTCGAAGGGCAGAGGGTGTTCTATGCTGTCAAGTTTGTAAAGTCCCTTCAGGCAAATTTTGATGTGCAATAAGGGCTGTAAAAATAAAAGACTTGACTACCTGAAACAAACGCACCCCACAGTTTATACAAACTACAAAATGAACGCACCTACACAGGTTAAACAAAGCTGGAAACAAACCAACTCCACCCACAGAAACATACACGAACATCACATGTGCCACACAGCTGCCTTGATGCTTAAAAGAAACATACCCTGTAGATTTTACAAACCTTAAACACCCACAATAATGACAAACACCAGATCAGATCCACACAGGCTGCCCCGATGAGTGAATCAAACGCACCCATACTCTCTGCGTGTACCTGAGTTGCAGGATGAGATCTTCTCCTTCCCGGATGACACTCATCGCAGCTTCCTGTGGGTCAGGGTTAGATTCAGGGTTAGTGTGAGGGTTAGAGCTGAGGGGTCAGAGGTCAGGGGGGTGTTAGGTTGTTATGACGGGGTTAGGCGTAGAGGTCAGAGGTCAGCAGGTACCTGCGTGTTGGCCTGCTGCTGCTGCTGCTGATGAGAGCCTGCAGAGCCTCAACGGTGTCCGGACAAACACAGAGATCTGAGGAGAGCTGCTTCTGGAGGCCCTCCATCCATACTGAGAGCTGAGAGAGGAGGAGGAGGAGGGGAGGAAGAGAGGGGAGAGAGGAGGAGGAAGAGCAGGAGGAGGGAGGAGAGAAGAGGAGAGGAGAGGAGGAGGAGGAGGGAGAGGAGGAGTGGAGGGGGGAGAGATCAGGAGAGAGGAGGACGAGGAAAAACATTCATTGACTCACAATAATAAACTTATAACAGGAAAACACTGCAGATATCACAGTTAATGACAGTGTATTAATTGTGTGTGTGGTGTGTGTTTGTTACCTCCTTGGTGTGTGTGAAAGACACAGCGAGGTCCAGCAGCAGCTTCCTCTGTTCAACTCTCTGGATGAACGCCTGCAAACACACAACACAATATTAAATACACACATTAACAACACATCACCTGCGGCGCATTGGTGTTTGTCCTTTCTGTTTGAAACAGGGCGTCGGCCATTTTGAACAGAAGTCCAGACTTCCTTACCTGCATGCGGAGCTCCAGGTCTCGGGCTGCCTGGTAGATCTCCTCCTCCTCACACTCTCCAGACTGAGCCAGCTGATCGGCTGCTTCCAGAAGCTTCTCTGCATTAGTGTAAGTGTTCTGTCACACACACACATCATGGTGAACAATCCTGCTTTTGAGATTAAGTCCTCACAAAGTCTCCACCAGCTGCATTAACCCTGCTACACACACTTTCATTTATTTAGTGTTTCACCTTTCTAACAGTTGAATTTACACTTACTGATCTTTACTTTACGTGTAGCAGGATACTGATCACTTAGGGAAGCTGAACAGCCATTTTATGTTGAGATAAATGTGTGGATGTGCCTTGTTGCAGGTTAGCTCGGTGTAAACTCTTGGCTAGAAAAGCTCATGGTCAGATTTATTATTTATTTTGCGTTGACTCTACACATGTCGCAGCGACGTAGGCAGCAAGACCTGTGATTGGTCGACACGTAGTCTACGCCGTAGTGGACTTGACGCAGAAGTATAAACTGGCCTTGAGCGTGGTGGATGTGTTACCTGTGCGACCTGCTGGAAGTCGTCATGGCGTTTCTGCAGCGCTCGCGCGCGGTGCAGAGACTTCCCCACGCCGCTGTGTTTGTTGAGGAAAACCTCACCGTGCTGCTCCACCCAGTCCAACACCTGAGAGACAGACAGGTGCTTTTGTTTAATAAAAACATTTCCACACGGTAGGTCAAGATTTTGACTTAATATCTCATAATTGTGGCTTATAGGTTAAATTCAGTGTATTTAAGTCTTAATGATTCAAATCAGTATGTAAATATTTTCTGATATTGATGTTAATATTAACTGGATAAGAAGAATTGGTCCTAAGGTCTGATGTTAATCTCAGTCTGGATCTGTGTCTGAATGTATCATACCTGTCTAACATCCTGTTGAAACACACACAGCTGCAGGCGCTGGTGGAGGCGGAGCTTACGATGCTGCCACGCCCCCTCCACCTCATGGTGACCCTGCAAATAAAGAGAAGACTTAAAATCAGTCCACCTGTCTGTCTGTCTGCTGGTCAGTGAGGTCTGCTCTCTACTGATGGATGTGGGACGTTATGTCTCGTAAGCCATACCTGCATGACCTGGTGCAGAACTCCCATGATGCCATGCGTGGCAGCACTGAAGTCTGGTTTGGTGGCTGCGTCATCGGAGTCGGCCGCCGGGCAACGCTGGAGGACATCCAATAAGGCTTTACCACTCTCACTGACCTGCAGACAGACAGGTAGTCAGTCAGACAGACAGGTGGGAGACAGACAGGTGTTGAGACAGACAGGTACGTGGACAGACAGGTGTTGACGGACAGGTGTTGAGACAGACAGGTACGTGGACAGACAGGTGTTGAGATAGACAGGTATGTGGACAGACAGGTACCTGTGTGTAGTTAGCAGAGATCTCCTCGTTCAGCTCCTGGTGTTTCTTTGTTGCAGCTTCCAGCTCTGCTGTCGCTGAAGGCAACGTCCCTTCAGAGCACGTCTGAACCCAGCCCTCCACTCTGAGCAGGAACTGGACAAGTAGAGCGACAGACAGGTAGGAAGATAAAAGCAAAACAGGTAAAATAGTGGACAGACAGGAAGACAACAAAATGTAGACAGGAAGATAGAGAGGCAGACAGGCAGGTAGACATAAAGGGGTAAAGAGCAGATACAGACAGGTACAAAGGTTGGTGGTGAAACAGGTAAAAGACAGGTAGATAGAGAAGAAGACAGACAGGTGGACAGGTATAGTACATAGACTGGTAAAAGACAGGTAAAAAACAGGTAGACGTGCAGGTGTATGCTGCTGGTGATCCTGATTGTGTCACCTGTTCTGCCCCCTGGTGGAAGCCGGTTGCCATGGCGAGCGTGTTGCTCCGCTCCTCCAGTGTCGTCGTCAGGGACTTCCAGTCTTCCTGTAACCGTGACGACACCATGGCGATTCGCTCTGCCCGTAGTGACCGGCCTCCGCCAGCCTCGCCGCCACGGTCACCACGCTGTCTACGTTCACGCTGCCGTTCTGCAGCGAGACGCACAGACGACTCATTCAGGACAAACGTGTTACAAATGTCCTCACTTTTCCGAAATTACTTCACTTTCCCGAAATGTCCTCGCTTTTCGAAAAAGTCCTCACTTACCTAAAATGTCCTCACTTTTCTGAAATGTCCCCACTTTCCTAATATATCCTCAATTTTCTAAAATGTCCTCACTTTCCTAAAATGTCCTCACTTTTCTAAAATGGCCCTACTTTCCTAAAATGTCCTCACTTTCCCGAAATGTCCTCACTTTCCTAAAATGTCCTCACTTTCCTAAAACGTCCTCTCTTTCCTAAAATGTCCTCACTTTCCTAAAATGTCCTCACTTTCCAAATTGTCCTCACTTTTCTAAAATGTCCTCACTTTTCTGAAATGTGCTCACCTTCCTAAAATGTTCCCACTTTCCTAAAATGTCCTCACTTTTCTAAAATGTCCTCACTTTCCAAATTGTCCTCACTTTTCTGAAATGTCCTCACTTTCCTAAAATGTCCTCACTTTCCCAAACTGTCCTCACTTTTCTAAAATGTCCTCACTTTCCTAAAACGTCTTCACTTTCACACACACACAGACTGACCATGCAGTTGGCGGTGAAGTGCTGGTGTTGTGTCTGGAGGTCGAGGGCGTGCTGGTGGTTCTGGCCGACCTCCGCCAGACTCTGCATGAACAACTCTTTACTGTGAGCGATCCACTCCGACATCTGAGATGGACAGAGACAGACAGAGACGGGTTAAAGAGCAGCGACACTTCAGCTTATGAAACAATCAGAAGCAGAGTAGGGTGGATCCTGACAAGCCGGTAGTGTGATCCAAGACAAAGCCGCTTCAGCCTGTTGTTCTGTAGGTGACATACGCAGAACGTATCAATGAGGCCTCAGGTAAGAAAGAAGATCAATGTCTTCGTCCTGTCTGTTAACAGATGAACCGTGAGCTGTAAACCTCACCTTGGTGGCGTCCTGCTCGAACAGGTGCAGCTGCAGCGCCTGGTCCAGGTGCAGCTTCCTGTCACTCCAGCTCTGCAGCAGGTGACTGCGAGCCGCCTGCAGCCGGTCCAGCAGAGACGAAACCTTCGGCGCAACGCTCTGAAAGTCCGCCCCGCCCGACAGCCAGCTGCCGTGGCCGCCACCGCCGCTGCCTTCAGTAGAGGCGTCACCGTGGGAGGGCCCAAGCGCATGCGCTGAAGCAAGCTCCGCCCCTCTCGCTCCAGGCCGTCGACAGGTGCCGTGGCGATGGTGTTACGGAGACGACTGTGTTCCTCGAGGAGTCTGGAAAATATGGAAATAACTCTATAAACAAAAATGTCTTTAAAACTAGTTACCAAATACGTTCTGACGTTGTAATACCTAATCACTAACTCTTTAATAATCAACATCTCTTTAAATAATCAATAACTCTTTTATAATCAATGACTCTTTAAATAATCAACAACTCTTTAAATAATCAACAACTCTTTAATAATCAACAACTCTTTAAATAATCAATAACTCTTTAAATAATCACTAACTCTTTAATAATCAAAACTCTTTAAATAATCAACAACTCTAATAATCAACAACTCTTTAAATAATCAATAACTCTTTAAATAATCACTAACTCTTTAATAATCAACAACTCTTTAAATAATCAACAACTCTTTAATACAACAACTCTTAATAATCAACAACTCTTTAAATAATCAATAACTCTTTAAATAATCAATAACTCTTTAAATAATCAATAACTCTTTAAATAATCACTAACTCTTTAATAATCAACAACTCTTTAAATAATCAATAACTCTTTAAATAATCACTAACTCTTTAATAATCAACAACTCTTTAAATAATCACTAACTCCTTAAATAATCAATAACTCTTTAAATAATCACTAACTCCTTAAATAATCAATAACTTTTTAATAATCAACAAGTGTGACTTAGGGTCTTCCTCACTTGCGGGCCTCGTCCACGTCCTGGGGCTCTGGTATGCGGTTCAGCCCGGCCTCCAGCTGCTCCAGCTGGGACAGCAGCTGAGTGGCGGCCCCAGAGAACTCCTCCAGACCCAGACGCAGCTCGGTCCACTCCACGTGGTCGTACTCCAGCGAGCCGCCGAGGTCAGAGGTCAGCTGGGACGGGTCCACAAGCCGGGACAAACCCTCCACCGACACCAGGCTGGTCTGAAGAGGGACAGAAAGAAGGGGTGTACTGAGAGGAAACTACAGCACGTACACACAGGGAACTCCAGTACACCAACAAGTACACACAGGGAACTACAGTACACCAACAAGTACACACAGGGAACTACAATACATCAACAAGAACACACAGGAAACTACAGTACGACTTAAACAATGATAACCAAATGAAAACATTTTAGTACAGCAACAGACTGAGTACTTCTACTGCTATGGAACTCACTAGCAGTACTTCAGTTTGCATCAGTTATATAACTTAGCAACAGTAGTAGTACTTCATTTAACTGTAGTGATACATTGGTTAGCAACAGTTAGTAGCTATAGTACTGACTTTTGCAATACTAGTACTGATGTTATCAGTGCTATTATGTTACTTATCATAATAGTACTGAGGTTATCAGTAGCAGTAAAACAGTACTATCTTAAAGCTGAGCCTGGTCTTGTGTTTCTGCTAGAAGGTCAGGTAGTACTTTATTTAGCAGTAGTAGTATTAAAGTCCTCAGTAGTAGTAGTACCTCGATGCTGAGCCTGGTCTTTGTTTCTGCTAGATGGTGTCAGGTAGTACTTTATTTAGCAGTAGTAGTATTAAAGTTCTCAGTAGTAGTAGTACCTCGAAGCTGAGCCTGGTCTTTGTTTCTGCTAGATGGTGTCAGGTAGTACTTTATTTAGCAGTAGTAGTATTAAAGTTCTCAGTAGTAGTACCTCGATGCTGAGCCTGGTCTTTATTTCTGCTAGATGGTGTCAGGTAGTACTTTATTTAGTAGTATTAAAGTCCTCAGTAGTAGTAGTACCTCGATGCTGAGCCTGGTCTTTGTTTCTGCTAGATGGTGTCAGGTAGTACTTTATTTAGCAGTAGTATTAAAGTTCTCAGTAGTAGTAGTACCTCGAAGCTGAGCCTGGTCTTTGTTTCTGCTAGATGGTGTCAGGTAGTACTTTATTTAGCAGTAGTAGTTAAAGTTCTCAGTAGTAGTAGTATCTCAAAACTGAGCCTGGTCTTTGTTTCTGCTAGATGGTGTCAGTAGTACTTTATTTAGCAGTAGTAGTATTAAGGTTCTCAGTAGTAGTAGTACCTCGATGCTGAGCCTGGTCTTTGTTTCTGCTAGAAGGTGTCAGGTAGTACTTTATTTAGCAGTAGTAGTATTAAAGTTCTCAGTAGTAGTAGTACCTCGAAGCTGAGCCTGGTCTTGTTTCTGCTAGATGGTGTCAGGTAGTACTTTATTTAGCAGTAGTAGTATTAAAGTTCTCAGTAGTAGTAGTACCTCGAAGCTGAGCCTGGTCTTTGTTTCTGCTAGATGGTGTCAGGTAGTACTTTATTTAGCAGTAGTAGTACTAAAGTTCTCAGTAGTAGTAGTAGTATCTCGAAGCTGAGCCTGGTCTTGTGTTTCTGCTTGAAGGTGTCAGGTAGTACTTTATTTAGCAGTAGTAGTATTAAAGTTCTCAGTAGTAGTAGTACCTCGAAGCTGAGCCTGGTCTTTGTTTCTGCTTGATGGTGTCAGGTAGTACTTTATTTAGCAGTAGTAGTATTAAAGTTCTCAGTAGTAGTAGTACCTCGAAGCTGAGCCTGGTCTTGTGTTTCTGCTAGAAGGTGTGAGGTAGTACTTTATTTAGCAGTAGTATTAAGTTCTCAGTAGTAGTAGTACCTCGAAGCTGAGCCTGGTCTTTGTTT